AAATGACCCAGAATGGCAAAAATGGGATAGACAGCCAGCCCCAAATGATAGTGATCGCTGTAAGGGAGTCCCCTGCAATCTCAGGGTCACCCAGAAGGGCTCTTCACTGCAGGCGGTTAGAACAGGCTGTAATAGCAAACCTGCAGGCAACGGTTACAGCTGCTCCAAGTGTGAAGTCAGGACACTGGAGCAAGGACGGCACCAGCCAAAGGAAAATTAACCAGACCCTTTCCTCACTGCGGCAAGGAGGGCCATTGGAAAAGGAATTGCCCTCAGGTCTGAAGGGAGAGGAGAAAAAGCTTGATTATAACGGCCATAACTGAGGACTGAAGGGGCTTGAGGTCCCTGGCAGCTCCCATAAAAGGTATAGTCATCACAATTGAGGAGACTCTTGATGTGACAGGTTAGAATATCCTTGAATTCATTCTTTTGATGGTGTCAAAAGGCCTGGACACCAGCTGGGGTCAAGGTCCCACCGACGCACAAGAACCCACAGCTCACTGGGATCACCTGGGCTGCAGCACTTTCCTGCATTCATAGAAAAGTCATCCTCATTTCTGACCTGGCAACTGATTTCTTTAGTCTGTCCTACATGGCAAATACTGAGAAAGAGAAAGATTCTTTTTCATTCCGAGAGGACACAAATGCTGCCTAAGACTGTGAACATTTTGATGAGTTCTGCAAATGGAAGAAAACGCCCTAGCAGCATCCTCAGTGCAATATCTATCCTGCCACAAAGGTGTGATAAAATGGCTTGTGAATTTTTCTTGCTGGGGATACAGTGATCACAGAGCAGGAGGGAGTGGTTTCCCTCCAAAATCACACTGAAGAGCCTGTTGCTTTCCCTTCTTTTCTTTTTATTCTTGTTTCTACTTAGCAAATGCTATTTTGAGCAAGCTAAAGACAATGTTTTCCAGATTTGGTTCAGTAACATCCCTGAAATTACTCTGTGCAGAGAACCAACAGCATGAGAACCAACAGCTAAGAGGAAGCCTGCAGTTTCTCATGCCAACACAGTGTGTTATGCTGAACTATGGTCCCAGGTCGCTGAACTCTTGGATTAGTGTGGGTCTGACCAGTTAGCACCCTCCTTTTTGGATGCCTTCTTACGTTCACTCCAGCTTTCATCAGATAACTATCCCCACCCTAGTTTCTCTAAAGCAGTTCTGGTTTGTTCTTTCCTTTCCTCCCCCACAAATTACTACAAAACCAATGTCAGGTGAACTTTCCGCAATAAATTAATTCCAAAATTAGCATTTCTAAGTCTACTTTAAAAATTTTTTCCTTATCTTTTTCTGACTCAACATTAATATCTTCCTTTCAGATATCACTAACCCCCACTGCCCCCCTCCCTGCCCAACCCCTAGCACTAATTGGTTAATTGTTTCTTTCTTAGATTGCAGAAAAATAGAAATATCTAAATGGGGGACTTAGAAAATACAGCGCTCTTAAATAACAGACTTGGAATTGAGAACCCCAAGCCTTTAATCGCTATAAGAGCCTCCATAAGGAAATGAATGAATGAGAATTTATCATTGCTCTTATTAGGTATGTGCCTCCCAGACTTCTTCAGGGAGGGTTTTCACAGAGAAAGCCCCAGGTAAGGTTTGGGCACTGGGAATGAAATAAGCATGAAAGCCCCACTTTGCCAGTGTGTGTGTATGTATCTGTGTGTGAGAAGAGACTGGGGGAAGGCGCTGGGTGTGGGATGCGGACTAATGGAGGTGGTAGAGTTAAGGTCCTCTCTCTGGTGTGTCTGTTTGACTCTGCGCCATCTGGTGACTGAAGCTCTCACAGAAGGAAGAAGCCTGAGGTCTAGGAGACTTGGGCCTGGCTAAGGGTTGGGATTAGCTCCTCAGGGTCAGCTCTAGGTTGCTAAGGTAGCTGTATTTCAGCTTACCAGCGCACAGGTGAAAAATGTTGTGCCTCATGGAAGGTTTGTGTAAGTCATGACGTATTGACCAGAAAACAATGAGACTTTAAGGACCTATTAAGGAAAGCAAAAAGTACTGTTACACAATTATTCCAGACAGTGGGACTCTGAAAGTGCTTGAGAAAGTACTTTATATCTGGTTGAACAAAATGAAATGAAACTCTTCTATGAACATAGGAAAAACGCAAAAGGAATTGAAGGAAGAGAAAAAACTGAAGGTATGGGTAAGAAATGAAAGAGAGGAGGCAGGATAGCATCATGTTTTGTAGGCTGTTCTAAACCTGGGTTCACATTTCAGAGCTCCTGCTTACTGTTTGTGGGACAATAGGCAATTTATTTAAACTCACCAAGCCTCAGTTTGCTCGTCTATAAAATGAGGATCATTCTATTTACTTCCTAAGGATACTGTGAGGTTAAATAAAGAATTCACAAAAATACTAAGCCCAAAGCTTCACGAAAATGTTCAATAAAGGGTAGTTATTTATAAGCAGAGAGAAATGAAAAGAATAGAAGGAGAAAGCAGAAATGACAAGGATAGCGTGGGATGCATTAGAGTATGAAAGGAAATAACATCTAGGACCCTCCAACTTAGGACAAGGCCAGGTTAGTCCAAGCCCAACAGGTGAATGCCATGAAGGCTGCAATCTATGACTCCAGTGGACAAGGAGGTCTCTGCCTGAGCCCACTTTTTGTTATTGTCCTCTGTGTGTCTGAGAGAATGCCACAGCAGGGCCAGCCATCCCTTCTTGGTACCCCTGGGAGTTTAAAAGGTGTGGCCTGGCAGCTCTACAGTTAACCTCTATGCAGGACTTTCTCAGTTCATGCTCGTAGCTTATGTGAAAAAATGTCAAGTATGACAGGGCGGATGGGGCTGATCAAGGCGTAACAACTAGGGATGAAGTTTGATCCAGTGAGGCGCTGGCATGCATGGTAAGCTTACCAAGGAGGTTTCTGAGGACCCTGGCTTGCCACTGTTGGTGGCAGTTAATAGTGATGCTGGAAGGTCAGCTGCTTCAACAACATAGCCAGAGGAAATATCCATGTAACCTGAGGCCCCTTCCTTCTCCACTGGCAGAATCCTCACGGCAGACTCAGGAGGTGGAGCTGGCTGCCTCACTCTCTCTTTTGGCTACTTGTACAGATTGCCTAAAGCCTTTCAGACATCTAAAGGTTTCTGCAAGAGGAACATATTGCACTATACACACACACACACACACACACACACACACACACACACACACACACAATCAGTGACTAGAGGACCTCCAAGGAAGCGCTTGAGTCACCTGCATCTACCTTAGAGCTTGAAGCTAGAGATCATAATACCCATTCCCACAGATGTAATAGTCAGCACGTCGACTTGCAAAGCCATTGCCTGCATTTCTAACCTTTTACCAGCTTCCCTCCATGCTGAGGGAGAAGCCAGGACCAAGAACACAGTAATATGATCCCCAAATTAGCATAAAATAAAAAAACAACTTCCTAGTCATGTTTTCCATGGGGTTTTCCAACCTCAAACTAAAAGCACAAAACAAGGAGAAAAGAGATATAAAAATATACACATGGGACTATAAATACATATATACTGTCTGTGTCTGCACACAGCCAAGCACCCTGACCCAAATGAGTATCACAACTTCTCTAAGAAAAGCATAGCCTGATGCAGAAATCCTGAGAATTTTCTGTCCTTCAAAATTTCAATGTAAGAACAGACTGGAAAAGAAGGTACTTGATGACTTGGTTTGGAAGGGGTTAAGTCACCAGTCATCCTATTCTAGAGTGATTTATGATGATGTGTGGAGTTTCAAAATTTTCCCCCACCCCAAAGAACAGCCCTCTCCCTCCTCACTGAGTCCACTCCGAACGTGCTGAAATGGGAAGGAGGCAGTGTTTTGCTGATCTGTTAAATTCTTAGTGAAGTTTCCTTGATTTCCAGTGGCGGCTGTTGTTTGAGTTTGGTTTTGGAGCAAAGCTGGTGAATCCAGGCAAGAGAAAGAAAGAAAAAGAAAGAAGAAAAAGGAAGAGAAAAAAAAGGTAGAGGAGAAATAGGGAGGAGAGAGAAACTTTGAGGAAAGAAAAAGTCCTTTTTCACGACATCCACATTCCTGTGTTTTCCCTCAGCCTGGAAAACATATTAATCCCAGTGCTTTTACGCCCGGAAACAAAGAGACTAAGCCAGACTGTGGGGAAAAGGAGATAAAGAAGGATCCTGGAACTAAAGAGGAAAGAGTAAGATTCAGAAATCGCCGGGACTGGACTTTGGGGACGTCCTGTGTCGGCACAAGGGACTAACACACACAGACACACAAGACCAAGGAGAAACTGCAGACAAATGGAGATACAAAGACTTATAAGGACAGCTCCTTTCACCTCATCCTACTTGTCCAGAAGGTAAAAAGACACAGCCAGAAAGAAAAGGAACCAGCTCAGCTCTCCAAGATCCAGGATTGGGCTGTGGATCTGTGTGGCGGAGGTACTCTGAAAGCTGGAGCTACAGCACACCCCTTTTTGTATTGCTCACCCTCGGAAAAGAGAGGGCTGGGGAGGAAAAGTAGTTCATCCCAAAACTGTCCTGGGAACCAAACTTCTGATTTCTTTTGCAAGCCTCTGCATTCCATCTCTATGAGCCACCATGTAAGTGTGTAATCCTTTCTGTCTTTGGTGTGTTTATTTGTTTCTTTGTCGCTTATTTTGGAAGGGTAAATGTGAATGTTATTGTCATAATTAATATGCCGGTTTTGCATTTTCTTTGGAGCATCCAGAGCCTTAGTTGAAACAGTGCAAGCATGCTGACTGGGAAACTGAGATTGGATTTCTGCCCAATGTAACTGTCTCTGTTAAACACTAACAAATTATAGGGGCCTTGAAAGTAACAGAATCTCATCCCATTTTCCATCTCCACAAGCCTCCCTCCTTTTTCTCACAACACCCTTCCCTCCCACATAGCTGAGATGCAAGAAAAAAGAGAAAATGACCAGCTCTGTTTCAGTTAAATAATTTTCTTCCTTTTTTTTCCCCCTCTTACCTTTGTCTTATGACCTCGGTGCATCGCAAAGTGGATTACACAATGACATGGAGAATGGGACCCCGTTTCACTATGCTGTTATGTGGCTCGTGTGTGGATCAGAACCCCCACCCCACGCCACACGATCAGAACTAGCCATGGAGGCGGAAAGTGCCTTTGGTTTCTCTGGACAGCAGTGAGCCAGCTGGAGTTTCAGGCACCTGGGAGGTCTCGTGGAATTGAGATCCACTCTGGAACCAGCCTACAAGCCAAGCCTTCCAGCCTCTCCAGAGAAGGAGGAGTGTGCCCGTGTTGAGACCCAAAGCTCACGCAGCGGAGCCGCCAGCCCGCGTCAGATGTCAATGGGGCCCCCATGAGACCTGAGCAAGACCAGCCGGCCAGAGCTCTCTGCGTGAGACCAGGCTCAGAGATGAAGGTCTCTCAGCTCGGTCAAGAATGTTGGGTTTCCCTTGGGATCCAGCTCTCCCAGCATCCTTACCAGCTTTTGCAGGGAAGAACAGGTGTGGAGTCATCTCAGCCCTACATGCCTGTGGAAGGCTACTGCAACCTCATGATGAGCCTGCTGAAGGACGATGTGTACTGTGAGCTGGCGGAGAGGCATATCCAACAGATTGTGCTCTTCCACCAGGCAGGCGGGGAAAGGAGGCAAGGTGAGAAGGATCCACCAGTGAGGAGCCAGATCTGGAGCAGTCCTGGACTAGCCTCATCCCTAAGCTGATGACTTCCTGAAGCTGAGAAGGGCAAGTTTGGCATGGTGCTGCTGAAGAGCTGCAGGTGGCAGGCTACCCATACCCGTTAGGCTGGAAGCCATATGCAGGTCATCGACCAAGGCCCCGTAGTGGAGGATCGAGAAGAATCAGGCAGAAGGGCTTTTTGTCCAGAAATGTAGGCAGCTGGTGTAGAGGGCTGGGTGGTGGAGGAGGAATGATGGTGGAGGTGAGGCAGGAAGGAGCCGGCACCTGGAGGCAGCGAAGGAGAGAGAGAGGATCCCAGGAGGCACAAGTCCCACCAACCAGAGAGTCGGGTGAAGGTCACACAGAAAACTGGCTGCCACTACACCAGCTTTGCCCCCACCTCCCACCTCGCCCCCAGGGCCACCACCCTTCCTCCTGCTCATACAACAGTTACTCGGTCACGTCCGAGGTGGTAACAGTTGCTACAGACCCCTACTATAGCCACCACTGCCTTTCCCACCACGCAGAGGCCCTGGACCCCCTCCCACCTCCACAGGCCTCCTACAACCGCCTGAGGTGACCACTGCCAGGAGACCCTCAGTTTCAGAGAATCTTTACCCTCCATCCCGGAAGGATCAGCACAGGGAGAGGCCTGGTTAGCCGGGAGACCCACAGCAAGGCCACCGGCATGGAGAGCTTCTGGTGCACCCCCTCCCACCACCATTTCGGAGGCCCAGCACAGAGGCTTGCTGCATGAAACCGTTTACTAGGGACTCCAACCGCATGGACAAGGGCGGGGAACATGGCCATGTCGAGACTAAATGGGTACTGAGGTCCTCCCAAGCCAACAAAGGAGAAACCTCCCAAAAGAGGCCCAGGACAAAATTCTTAGTAATGGTATGGGGAGAAGTATGACCTCAGCCGGCCTCCACTGCCTCTCAGCTGGAGGAGGAGCTGCAGGTGGGGAGATATTTCCCCTTAAAAAAGCAAAGGAGTCTAAAAAGCGTAAAAGAAAAGCTTGAAACTAAGGAAGGAGAAGGAAAAAAGATATATGAAGAATGAGAATGCAGACAAGTTACTTAAGAGTGAAAAGCAAATGAAGAAGTCACGAGAAAAAGAGCAAGCAAGAGAAGAAAGGCAAGAAGAAAAAAGGAGAACAAAGCGGAACAGGATGGCTATCAAAAACCCACCAACAAACATGCCTTGAAGTCCCAAAGTCAGGAGGTGGCTGACCTGCTAGCAGGTCTTTGAAGGCTTAGCGAAACTCCGCCGCCCAGCGCCTTCTCGCCAGTGTTAATTCTATATAGGCCGAGGCAGGGCATGTTAATGTCTGTCTTTTTTAGTTATATAAAAATCATATTGCTGAAATGCCGGGTGTGTATTTGAACACGCACTGTGTCAAGAAGCTCAGAAGTCTGGCAAAGGGCATGAGCCCAGCCCAGCTCCACCTTCTGGTTTGGCACTCAGGGGTTGCTCACACAACTCATAGCCTGGCACAAGTCAATGGCTGGGGACCCTACACCAGGCCCCAGGAGGGAGCACCCTGCTCGAAAGTGGCTTCTTTGGGTGTTGCCAAGGGACCCTTCCCTCAATTTCTACCCTCTCTTCAAAGGGATATTTCTGGACAGAGAGCTCCCTTTCTGCAGTCAAAGGGATGAAAGAATGTTAAAAATTCCCAAAAGGAAGTGCCGTTTGACTTCAGTCACATCTTATTCAAAGGGTTTCTCTGTCTGTCTGACTTAGGAACTAGATCATGTCTATGGGGACCAATGCTTAGAAAGTCCTCTTCCCTACAATTGAGTCTATATCAACACTGGAGCACTCAAAAGGGCAAGCGGGTGAGTGGAGAGGATGGCTAGGAGTAGAAGGTGCATGTTGATGTAGGCCCTTTATGGATCACTAGGAAATGAGCTATCAGAAATCTTCTCCCCCTTAAGCCTACCTCTCCCATGCTTTGTCCAACTACTAGGAAGAGCCAAGGGTGGAATGTGAGGAGCAGTTAATTGCTTCAGATTTCACACCACTTTAGAAATGCACACCCTGAATTTGAAATCTAGATGTCAGTTTCTCCGGGAGCTCTTGTAAAATGTGTATAAGTGTCCACTTGTACCTGTGCACCAGTGTGTGAAAAAAAGGAGACAAGCGCCCTACTTGCCCTTACAGTCTGCATGGTTTCTGAGTACACTCGTGTTGAGTAAGTCACGGGCATCTCAACAACAACCCTCTCTTTTTTATTTATCACTTTACCACCACCAAATGAGAACTTTTACAAGACAGATAAAGCCAAAGTAAAGGAGGCAGATTTTATCAGTGATGTGCAAATGGCTCCTTCTCACTTATTGTCTCTTCTCTCTTCCCTCTTGCCTCAAGAATTTACCTGGCTCTTAAGGCTAGCTTTTACTCAGGCTGTCAAGGAGGAAGGATATTGTTGCCATTAATTCTGGGTAAAGATCAATAAATTGATGTTGGTAGTGTGAATTCAGAATGATTTTCAGATGCCTGGGTGAAGAGAATCAACTCATGCCGTTGAGGCAGCACCATCTCTGAAGAGCACAAGAGTGACTGCACACCCCGCATTTCCCACCAAGAAAACAGGCTCTCTTTCTCAAGGCATTTCTTAGAGAATCTTTTAAGTTTTCAAGCTAACTAAATGTTGGTTAATGATCTGGGCACAGAACTCTGAGTGCCCATTTATCATATGTTGTTCAGAAAGTTTAAATGTGCATTTGAAATATTACTCTGGAAACAAGGGCATTCTTTGTGATGTTTATCACGAAAATTGGACATATGCAATTCTCTTAGCTGTTTACATGGATAGTAGGTCTGTGTGTTAGAGCAAAACCTAGCTCTGGATTCTGAAGTTATTGTACCTCTGTATTGTTTTTGTTATATATTTTCCTATATTGATGCAATATCTAACCAAAGGCACTTAACGTGTCTATATAAACTTAGGTATCAGGTGATGAGCCGCTTGGATATTCTCAGTGTACATATATTTAGAATATTTACACCCAAACAAAAATCAATTCAGAGTAAAACTCTACTACAACACTTGAATGTCTGTTAAAAGGGGAGCCACGGGGGCAACTGCCTTATCTTTTGGGGGCATGGGAAGCGTTAAGTGGTTTGAATGCTCTTCTCCTCCTGAGTGTCTCTACAACTTTCCATCCAGCATTAAAATACATCACCCAACTCTGTTCATTTAGCCAACAGGGCAGGCAAAATGTTCCTCATGGTCGTTTGCAAAAAAGAAAATCACGGGTAAAAATGTCAGGATTTGGTGTGCTGCGTCTGGCATCTTCTACATTGCCGCCAGCTTGGCCAGGTCAAAAAGAAAGGGAGTTTCATAGTGTATTCCTGATATTAGTCATACTTTTCATTTCTCCCTCCTTCTCCCCACTCCTTTAGTCAAGGATCTGAAAATAGCTAGACATTCCTGCTTTTAATGGTATCCCTGCTTATAAATTTCTAGCAAATGAAACTCAAATGACAGCTTCTGCTGATGTCATGTGAGGCAAAACAGAAACCAGCTGGAATTGCGCCTGGCAGTGTTGGTTCTCTGGGCTAGTGAGAGAACCAGGTTTGTTATTAGAAAAGAAGAAATACTAACAGAGGAAACTTTCAGCTTTGATCTAGCAATACTTAGCTGATGATCATATCCGAAATGTGTCTTCTGGCGAAGGCGTGATGTCTAAAGTAAGAATGGATTAGAAAGAACCAAATGAAATAAACATGATACCAAAGCTTAAAAGAATGGAAGAAAAGTTTTCACAGAGAGAGAGACCAATGGGTGAAAAACATTGTTGGTGAGTTTAGCCTTTTTTACCACTGCTCTATCAAACTTGGCTAATGTTACTCAGGAACCCTCAGCAGTTCAAATCACTATTCATTAAGGCTTAGCACTCTCAAGCTATTTAGTGGCTGAGAACGTGACTGCATCCAGCACAAGCGCTTAACTTAGCCCAGTAAACTCAAACTGAAAGCAGGTTTACATTCAAGTGAAATTTTGTGCCCAGGACTTTCAGCTCATCTTCTCAGCTTTTGTCTTTGGTGCCAACATACCATTTATTGTAAACCCTTAGTGCTTGTCCTTATTTATACCATTCTTTAGATGTGGACACATATCCACATAACTGCTACTTAACAATTACAGAAACACTAACAGCAATGGTGTAAGGTCCCAGATGGATGGCTTCCTAGAGCCTTCACAGGAGCTGCAGGTGGAGCCAGGTGTCTATTTTTAGACTAGTGTTCTGTTTCAAACCTCACCTCTAAACCTATTAATGAAGAAGGGTACATCCTACAAAGTACTTTGCTACCAAGACGTATTGGTTTAATTCTCAAACAATCCCTCAATGAATGATTTATTAGCCCTTTCTAACATGAAAGCAGAGACCACCAAGATATATAAGCTATGTGGTGAAGTCAGAATTAGAACTCAGATCTCTATTTGAGTTGAAAGCTCAAATTCAGGCCAATCTCCTTTCTGATGATTTCTTTTGAATATGAACTTCCTCATGGGACATGCCATAAAGTGAAACTGAGGAATGATCTTGCCAGTTAATAAATATGAATTTAAAAGGTTAATACATATGAATACAAATAAATTTAAAAATTCATTTTTTCAAGCATACCAGTCACCCCAGATAAGTGGCAGATTTGCTAAGCACAAAATGTGGAGTTTCTGCCTTTAATACACAGCTAGTCCTCTGCACTCCAATTCTCACAACTCCAGACAGATCCAGTCAAAAACAATAGATTGGATTCAGTTAACCTAATCTCCTTCCAGACTGCTTGGTGTCAGTTTGAGGTGGCGATAGTGAGGCTTCCATATGGTAAACATACCCAAAGTATTGCGCTAGCAGGAGTATAGCTGACAAGCCATCATTCTGCGCTCTGGTCCCTTCACTTGTCAATGAACAAGGGACCTCAAATGCTGAATTGAATGAGATTCAAGTGCAAGTTTTAAGAATTCTTTGAGAGGCCAGGCGCGGTGGCTCAGCCTGTAATCCAGCACTAGCAGGAGGCTGAGACGGGCGGATCACGAGAGGTCAGGAGATCGAGACCATCCTGGCTAACACGGTGAAACCAAAAATCTCTCACCTAAAAATACAAGAATAAATTAGCTGGCGTGGTGGCGGAAGCGCCTGTAGTCCCAGCTACTCTGGGCTGAGCAGGAGAATGGCGTGAACCCGGGAGGCGGAGCTTGCAGTGAGCCGAGATCAGCGCCTGCCTCCAGCCTGGACAGAGCGAGTCTCCGTCTCAAAAAAAAAAAAAAAAAAAAAAAAAAAAAAAAGAATTATTGGGTGACCGAATCTCCTGTAATTCCCAGGTGGGTTAGTATTTCCCAACACTTACTTCATGAACATCTGTGTATTAAGGACAACCAATCAACTTCTTTGGTTTGATTTTGGAAAGGAGTTAAGGTTTCTGCTATTACTAAGAGGCAGACTATTAGCAGAAAGTTATTTTTCAGAATCCTGTAAAAACAAAACCAAACCAAACACAAAAAAAAGACTCTAGTGTTTTGAGCCTAACACAGTATTTTTGAATAATCTATCTGAGACTTAAAATACCTTCCCTCTAGCTTTTTTCCATTGCTGTTTGCTCTCTTTACTTATGCAAACAGGCTTCCTTATCCTCTGAGGCTCATTGAGCCAAGACACCAGTTGGAACAGAAGCATGAAAAAGAAATACAACACAGTTTTAAATTCATGATACATGCCCTGATTTATTGCCATCAAACTGGAAAGAGGCCAAGTGACAGAAATAGTGTTTACTGAGGGAGCTCTAGCTGCTCTTTTTAGAGAAAGAGGGGACTGGAAATGGTTCCCATTTTTAAGCACTGTCTGAAATACTGCCAAACTAAGGGTAGATGGGATGGAGATGTCAAAACATAGGGGAAAGAGTCCCTGAAATGGGATTTCAGATGGTCAGTCTTCACAGAGTGCAAACTTGAGGTGCAGACTAAACGTGAAGTGTTTTTACCAACTGGTAAGGTCGTAGCCTGCATCTAGACACTCAACAACCAGGGGACCCACTTTTGTTCCTGAGTCCCTCTCCTCTCCTCTGACTGGGGGTGATCTCTATACAACCCTGAGGAGTATTGGCCAAGCATTGCCCCCCAACCATCTGCAGGATGAAGTGGCTTGCAGAATCTGAGAACTTACATTTCTGCCTGGGGAGATGTGACCGTTATATAGTAAATTAAGGAAATACTTAAATTCCAAGTGGTAGGGGCAGAAGACAATAAGAGCAGTAATTAAAAGGAAGAAGTGATGGAAAAGACTTTCTGTGCTAGAAAAGACTTTAAGGAGGATAGTACATTTGAAAGAAAGAATCAGATTTAGACAAGGGGAGGGGGCAGAGTTTCTGAGGTAGGAGGAGTGACACGGGCAAAGACAGAGGAGGATTGTGGGTGAATTATTCAGAGGCAACACCTGTGTGTGCTTGGGAACACATATTTATTTTATTAAGAATAAATCAACCTGTAATAAGTTCTGCATGTTACATGTACTTATAAAGATATACAGATATATTTACTTTTGCTCCAGATCTCACAACCTGATGAGGTGCTTGGGAAAGTTGTCATTGTAACAACGACAATGCTGAGACTGAAGTTTAAGTGGATTCTATTCAGGCTGCCAAGCGCTTGGGGGCGAACTAGGACCCCGAAATGACAACCCCTGACTTTGACTGCAGTTATTCTTTCTCTACCATGCCTCTCTCACCCAAGATTCTTTCGTTTCTAATTTAGACTGGAGTCTGGCTCTAGGGGGTAAAGAGGTCAGGTAAGGAGGTATAGGAGGACATTAGCAAAGAGAGCCGGGATCAGAGCGTGGAGGAGGCTGGAAGTTGAGAATGAGTCTGCAAAGCGAATGTCACCCCCTGGTGGTTAAAAAAGAGCATTCTTGGGCAAAGGGTCTGCAGTAGAAGTAAATATCAGGAAACTTTATTTATTTAATGAGATTCCCATGGGATATCCATGGCCTCTCATCACTACATATATATAGAGCCAATGGGAGGAATGTCTACCACATGGGGAGGACTTCTACCATGGTTCTGTGTGATTACATACTGTCTGATATTCTTAGTATACACAAGGAGGAGAAGACTAGAGGAGGGTTGAGGACTCTTAAAATCCTGTCATACCATGGTCTGTCTACAGATTGTAAGGGTCTATGGCAAAGTATGGGATGAATGAAGCGGAATCTATGTATGAATTTGAAGTTACAGAAACAGTAAATTTTCTGTCATCTAACATCTAAGCAGCTTTGCCCTAGAAACTCCTCTAAATATATTCTAATATGTGCTTATCCTTAATTTAGAATACATCCAAACCATTAACAGTAAGTCCTTTCTCTTACCTTTGTTTTTGTTTTTGTTTTTACTTAAACATTCATTTTATTTATTTCAGAATAGTGTGTTTTTGAGCACAAAACAGTCAGAAAAAAAGACCTAAAATATACCAACTTAAAACTTCGGTATCTGGGCTCCCATTGAAATCTGAAGAAATATTTTCAGATGCCATAAAGCTAATTAAAAACAAACCAAGTAACTAAAATACCATCATCACATCTTTTGTAGCTGCCTTGATCTTGTTTTAAAAGCTAAAGACTGTGTGAATCAATGAATAAATCTGGAGAGAAATTTTGTTTTCCCATGAAAGAAAAATTGTTGTTCCTAAAACAAACATTTCCTACCCAGAATGTCCATATGAGCAGGCATAGAAACACAGGAAAAATAAACTAAAGCATGTCTATTTAGGAGTGTTGTGATCTGAAAAACAAAACAAAACAAAAACTTCATCCCAGAAAACCTTTGTTAATGTTCCATTCAAAGGCGATTGAACACGTTTAATTTCCTTGAGGGAGGCGTGTTTGTCATCTTAGGAGAGAATTCTTAGAAGGGAAAGCCTGCAGAAAGCTTATTACAGGCTTATCTCTGATAGAGAAAAATAAACAGCAGGATCAAGCTGAGACCAGATTTATTAACCATTTTTGATAAAATATTTGGAAGAGGTACACAGCCTGGTGACTTGCCCTCTGAAAAATGCCAATAGTCATAAACTTCAGAAATATTTTATAAGGTTAGGTGGATAAATAGAAAATTGGTTGATAAATTTGAATTTAGTCAAATGCAAGAAAATTGGCTGATACATTTGTATTTAGTCAAATGCAAAAAGTTGTTTACAGAAAAATGATTTATAGAGGCTTGCTTCTGGCTTAGTGATGACGCAACAAGGGCAAATAGGCGGCGTTCATTGCAGACCTTTTCTACAGCCTGAGTGATCTATTTGGGATCAAAGATCTCAAGCAGGGCCTAGTCATCATCTGGCCAAAATTTCATCCTCTCACCTCCAAGGTGAGCAGCACACTATACCCCACTAGCCTGTGAAGTGTGGAACACAGTTCTAGCTTCAGCTCAAGAAGACCTGGTAAAATTGGGAAGGCTCAGGGAAGGGCAACTAAATTAATCAAAGTGGAGAAGCTTTTTGTATTAGGTTAGATAAAAATAGTGAGACATTCTCAGAGAAAAAGGTCAAAAAAAGGACCTCTTAAAAATAGGGTTATCCTCACTGTATCCAAAATAAATTACATTTTCTCAGATTCCTGGTGACTAAAGTATTTCTTTTGATTGCTTTGTCTTTCCTCTTTTTCTTTTCCCCAGAAAGCAAGGGTCACAGAATGAGGATGAAAGACAGAGGAGTAGGTGAAAAATACCAGGTCTGACAAAGAGAAGGCTAAACTTAGAGTAAAGACACATCCTGAAGCTGAAAACTACAATATCAAAGACAAACACCACCAACTCTGTGCAGGCTAGATGTGACAATTAATACATTCTATGTGACAAAACGTAGGCCTGAAAGTCATCATAAAACCTTTCCTCAAGGTTTTCTAATAAAAATTACAAAGGATTTCCGTGAGTGCCCAGGACACAGCTGCATGAAACTCTCTTAACCCTGTGAAATGTGAATAATAGTAGTAACCATTGAATTAACCAATATCTAATCAGCCAATAAGAATAATGAAGATCAAAATTAGGGAAGGAAAATAACATTTATTGAACAATTACTGTGTGCCAAGTATTCATGTAATGGTCACAGCAGTCTTGCAAAATAAGTATTCCTTTGCAGAGTTCACAAATGAGAAAACTGGAACACATGGAGACTAATGTGGAGGTAAATAATGGAAGTGGTAGCTAAAAACTGTCTTGGATGGAGTGATCACTGCAGCCCTCTCTTTCAAATCATCCTCTTTGGAGTTTTTGCCCAGTGTGAAACTATCACTATAAATTAGTATTTGTTTGTCTTCACCCACCTCCAGCTGATCACTGCTCCCAAGGCTGAACAATATGCTTATGTGCAACAACGTGATGAATATCTGGAAAGTTTCTGCAAGATGGCCACCAGGAAAATCTCTGTGATCACCATCTTCGGCCCTGTCAACAACAGCACCATGAAAAATCGACACTTTCAGCTAGGTTCTCTTAAACATTTTAATATATTATTGTTTTTCTCATATCTAGGGTGGGACAGAAACTTTATGGGAGAGGATGTTCAGAGGGCTCTTTGGTTGTGATAACACAGGTCACTTTGCCTGCTTATTTAAATAGCCATTCCAGGATGGTTCTGGTTTAAGTTTTCCCTTTTTCTTAAAAAAGGAAAACATGCAAACCTCTATTGTCTGAAAGTCAGTAAGGTGAGGAAGAGAAATGGGGAGAAAAGTAATACAGTGTGGGAGAGAATCAGAAGACATTCAGGCCCACTTTTCTGGAGTACTGAGTCTCCTTGCCTGTACCAGCCCCACTCTGATCTTCCTGCAGACTCTGCTGCAGGTGACTCATCACAGATGGGACTTGCCAGGCTCCTTGCTTGGAAGTACTTGACTCTGGCAAGCCTGAGAAGGAAATTAACCAGAACTGAGAGAAGCTGTTAAGATCGTAAGAAAAGTCACTGAAAATATGGACTGAACTGCACCCAAGTCATTTTGGAGAGCAGAAGAATTTGGCTAATTTAGAGTTTTTCTAAATTTCACGTGATGTAGTACATGTGAGACTCATAAGGCGTACAGCTCAGTGTTGGGCAGCTGAGATCTAACTCATTGCAGTTCTCATGGGAATGTTGTAAGATTTACTGTGATTAGTTAAGCCGCATAGTCAAACAAATATGACCCACCCAGTTTATTTTATAATTATTGCATCTCTGAGGGCTTTATTTTTTAAAAAGCTTTTTCTTGCATGTTTTTCTACTGTTTTGTTGTTGTTCATGGTTTAACTACAAAAAAAATCCCACCCAGAGAGTAATCCTTTATATTCCATTGTTTGCATATTCTGCATAGTTGCCATAAAAATATATTTCATCTAAAAAGCACCTGAAAGAATATAAAATATATTTATTATTATATAACTCATTATTTGTTTAGTCAACATTTAACTTCAATACACATAACATTATCGGATTTTTCTGACATGCAATTTTTGGTGTAATTGAAGACATATCCTGGTCTACCTCTGTCACGATAATGTCAACTTGATTTGAATATGGTCTAGCTTTCTAAGTCATATTTTTTTTTTTATTGTAGTAAGTACATAGCATTGAAATCTTTCCTCTTAATGCATTTTTAAGTGCACAGTACAGTACAGATAACTATAGAATTTTACAATGTTATTAGCAGATCTCTTAGAAAACTGATTCGGTTGAGAGAGTATCAGTTATGCGTTCTTTACTTTAAATAGCCCACCTTCCTCTGAGGCGGCTACAAAGGAAAAATAAATAGCATCCTTTCCAGTGTCCCACCATAAATTATTGTGGGTCCAGTGTGATTCATTTTTGGACATTTATCCTGCACGTATGTATAATTTAGGGGGAGGGCAACTAAAAAAGGAATTTTCTTAACCAAAACAACAACAATAATGATCATACAAGCAAAAGACAAAAAATGAATTCTGGAGACAGACAGATTTAAATCCAGGGTCACAATTTACTTGTTGTGTCACCTTGGGGAAGCTACTCCTAAGTGTAGTTTAGAAGATAATCATATCTGTTTCACAGGATTAAATAAGATAGTATACAGAAATGCTGGTCAGGTAACAGGCACTATTATGTGGTCATCCTCTGCATCACCATTTGATCTGGTACAGTCATCTGAGATCAATGAGCTGTCACACTTGTCACTAGAGCACCTATAATGGCAAAACACTTGTTATTGCTTTGTGCTGATTGCAGAATCAGTGACACCACGAACCCTCACAACAGCTCATCCAGATCAGGCTGCATTATTATTCTTGGTGATAAAACTGACACCCAAGAGACTAATGCTACTAAAAACCACATATTTATGGCTAACTAGGATTCAACCATTTGTTTCCTGGTTTCAAATATTAGCATGAGGGCAGTGAGCTTAATTACATACAGATGTCCAGAAAGGAAGTAAGTATTCAATCCAGCCAGAGACTGGTGTTGGCTAGTGATGAAAGCCCTCACAAACCAGGTGTTCCCAATGTCAAATGTGTTACCTACCAACCACTTCCACACAAAGTGTTCTCATTCATATTTCAGAGAAGTTTGGAAAAATCATTACATCTTCCACTTCAACTTCTATACGGTCCCATTATAAGCATCTGGCACTGCCTTGGCAAATTTTTAGCATAATCTCTGCTTTCCTAGACATCTCTGGATTCAGGAACATGAATTGTAGAGGGAGCTGCGGGGTTGTTTTTTTTTTTTTTTTTTCTGCCTTATTGCAAATCAGGTATTATGATTTAGCATTTTCACCTCACTGAATGGCAGCCTGGACCTGATTTGGGCAGGGGGATCTTTTACTTTGTTTCTCATCTAATTCTGGAAGGCCTCTCTCTCCCCTGTGTCATGTCCCAGGTTACCCTTATGGGAAAGGCCCAGCAGCACTTTCAGCCGGGGCAGGAGTCAGCCATGGGAAAATAAGAATTGGCCTGAGCCATGGACTCGAGCGAACCAAAAAACTCCAGCCTTGACTGACTTTCAGCTGGAAAACCATCAGATGGCCTTACTTTTCCTTACAAATAAATCAAGCTCTGCCTACTATTCCAGACTTTCCACACTGGGCCTTGAAAGCAGGGGCATATATCCAACTACAGTGTAGGCCGTACTCACCAGCTGGTCCATCTTGCTAAAAGTATTTGGATATCACAATGAAACTACAAAGCCAAGGAAACTTACCTTAAGATTTTAGACTTTCATGTAAATAAAGTTATTTATGCTTGAGTGATTCAATGCCTATCTGGTTTTGCCAGCACAGTGTATATTGCATGTAGGATTTAAAATGGCCTAACACATAAAGGCATTCTTTCTTGTTAGTGGTATTTAAAATGTCAGTCTAGGATAGGAATGTTGGGTGTGTTTGTTAAGTAGATGGATTACAGACAAATTTTGTCAGATAGGAAAACTTGCTGGCTGAGCACTTCGTACAGAATGAAAAAAAAGAAGTGGGGGAGAGGCACGGCAAGTGTGTTTCTTTCTTAGCAATATTTAGAGATGAAAAATATTTTGCCATTGGCATTTATCCTGGGAATTTTGGAAGCTAGAATACACGGGACATTTAATAGGGCAAGAGGATATTTTGTTAGCTTCTTTCAGGAGAGTTGAGAGTAAATCAAGAGAGGTGGCAAAGTTCATGGAGGTGGAATATGGCAACAAGGAGAGAGAAAATGTTGGTTTCTTTTAAGGACTTCATAAGAGAGTGAATTTTAAAATGAGAATGGTAGGCGGGTCGCTGGCTCATGCTTGTAATCCCAGTACTTTGGGAGGCCGACATGGGCAGATCTTGAGGCCAGGAGTTCGGGACCAGCCTGTGTCTCAGTGGGAAATCCCATCTCTACTAAGAAGCTTTCAAAAATTAGCTGGACATGGTGGCAGATGCCTGTAATTCCAGCTATTTGAGAGTTGAGGCAGGAGAATTGATTGAACCTGGGAGGCAGAGGTTGCAGTGAGCCAAGATTACACCAGTACACTCTAACCTGGGTGACAAAGTGAGACTCTGTCTCAAAATATTAGATAAATAAATCAATAAATAAACAAAATGAGAATGATGGTACTTCCAAATCAGTCTAAAATACCGCACACCTGTCTGATCCTGTTTGAAGAGAAATTGTTACTTTCTGGAGAAACCTCACAGTCATCAGGATCCATAACAATTCAATGCTGCTTTGCCTCTAGGGGCAGTCCTGAAAAATTGACCCTCTCTTACTAACTTCTTTCATCAGTGGTGACAGTGCCACTGGCAGCTACCTTCTCTGAACCCTGCAACATGCTGAGCTGGGGAGGAGAGGGTGCCGGATGAGTGCTCGGGCACACACAGTGGCTGTGTGTTCCACACCTCTACAACATTGAAGTCTTTGCTATCAATCATTCTGTGCCCTAGAGACTGAAAGCCTGTCTCGCCTGAGTCAGTGCTTCTTAGTCCACTGCCGTTGCTGCCTCAACATCAAACATATCAGTGTCAAGACCAATCCCTGACATTCAAGGGGGAAAAGTGCTGATATGTCAAATGTACAAAAGCAAGGATTTGAAAATCTCAATTTGGAGGAAGTTGGCTCTTCCAGAGTTATCAATGATGTCAGATAAGGTATTAAAAATGTAGAGAATTTTGAAAAGTGGAGTTGATTTAATGGAGGGACCTTAGAAAAATGGTAGGTTTTTGTTTGTTTGTTTGTTTGATAGGAGTGTCTGACTTGATCAAGGTATTTTTGTTTAATATTTCAAAGAAATGATACTTTTTTAAAGAGAATTTTTCAAAGTCAAAAGCTATATAAAAGAAAGAGAATTTACAACTGGGCAAGTCTTATGTATCACTTCCTGACCCCTTTACCCTGCTACTCCCTGCACCCACAGGTAATCAGGCTTTTGTAATTCTTATTTATTCATTTAGTGCTTTTAGACAAATACAAAAAGAATACCACATATATATTTTATTTTTCTTACAAATACTTATAGCATATTATATATACCATTCCACACCTTGCTTTTTCACTTAAAATATTTCTAGGAGATCTTTCTTTGTAGGTATATAACAATCTTCCCATTTCTTGTAAAAAATTGTGAGATTCTGTCTTTGGTTTGGCTGCATTTTTGTCCATGGACACTTGAACTATTTTCAATATTTTGTTCTTATACATATATCACACATACATGGAGTGATATATGAACAAAGATTACAATTAAATTGTGTGAAATTGTGTGTACATCTTTCCAACAGAGTCTAAGAAGCAGGATTGTTGGACCAAATAGAAAATGTAGTTTGGTGGACCACTTCCTGAGATTTCTCTCCATACAAGTTGAATCATGTTGCAATTCCAACAGCAATGTTTAAAAGTGTCTATTTCCCCAAACCTCTCAATTAATGCATTGTGATCAAACTTTTGGTGCTGGTGATTGTGTGTGTGAAGAAATATAGTATCAGTACTTAGGGTAGTGTTGGTTTGCGACCGCATTTGTGGTATGATTG